AGGTGCTACTGCTGTTCAAGCTACCGGCAGAGAACACTGGCTATGTCTACACTGCAGTTAGCCACCTGTGGGTGGCCCATCAGCTGAATCCAGCTTGTAAGACTTAAGTTAAGGGGCTAATTAATTGCTGTGATTGTTGGAGCCCTAAAGCCTGGGCTCCAACCCAAGCCCCTAAGTTGAGTCAGCAGATTTTTAATTGAATTGTAGACACACCCACTGAGAACTCCAAACTGTTTAGGCTAGCACCAGCTCTTCCACTTCAGTGTTTCATACCTCCTGACTGAGTCCCCATTTCAGAATTCAGAAAGGATCAAGATCTCTTTGGGGAGAGCTTCTCCATCACTCCAGAAAAAGAAAAAGCTACTTTCCTCTGTATTTTTAGGAGAGCTGTTTATTTTTAATTCCTAAGCACAGGTTTACATTGTCTTTTTCCAATAGGTTACTACCAGAAACAGGCAACATGTCATCAGAAAGTCAGGATTATTTTGCATGCTGTTAGGAAGCTTTCATTTTTATTTCTAAGGGATTATGGTTAGTCCCCAAGGGAACTACTACCAGCAAACAAGTTTTTAAACACATTCTTACTCTAATGTAAGTCCTTATTTGTGTTTAAAAAACAAACAAACATAAGAATGGCCACACTGGGTCAGACCAAAGGTCCATTTAGCCCAGTACCCTGTCTGCTGACAGGGGCCAATACCAGATGTCTCAGAGGAAGGGATCACAACAGGTAATCTTCACATGATCCCTCCCCTGTCACCCACTTCCAGAAGAACAGAGGCTAGGGACAACATTCCTACCCACACTGGCTAATAGCCATTGATGAACCTTACCTCGATGAATCTAGCTAGCTCTTTTTTGAACCCTGTTGAAGTTCTAGACTTCACCGCATCCTCTGGCAAGGAGTTCCAGAGGTTGATTGTGCACTGAGTGAAGAAATACTTCCTTTTGTTTGTTTTAAAGCTGCTGCCTATTAACAAACAAACAAACAAAGTTAGCTAAACATATCTCCTTTTTCCACACTATACCGGGACAGTGTTAGATCAGGGTAGATGGCTTTTCTAATGAATGCGCCACACCTTCCCCTGGACACATTGTTTTTCAGAAATCCTAGGCTTTCTTTTTTCTTTCATGAGAGTTCAGAGTGCTGAGCCCCTCTTACTCTTGTCAAGGGAGCTGCTGTATAATTTATAGGGCCTAGGAGTGCTTCTCAGGGGTTTAGGGTCCTTGGGGCTAGAGAATGCAGAAACACATACAAATTCAGTTTCTGCCTGCGGTCGCAATTTCCACAGCACAAAAGCCAAGAATATATTTGCTTGCGGTGGGACGCAGTCGCCATTTATTTGTATTAAGCGCACTGCTACCTCTCAGGAGGAACTAGGCTGCTAGGAAGTTGCAGTTCGGTAACACACCGGGAGCTGGAACCGACGCAGCCTCTGGGGTCCCA